AATAAAAAGTGAAAAGTGGCAAAAGGCTAGTGCCGTGGCTACTGCAGCAGTGCTGCACTGTGACAGAACGCTCTAAACCTTCACTTATCAATAGTATTTTACAGGAATTTTGCTTGGCTGCTGAAAAGCAGATAAATTCTCTGTTTTACTTGCAAAACACGCAAGTAAATCCAGGTCACAAAATACTATAGCTGTCTTTGAGCCTTTCGAGCAAGATTATCATAGGGGTATCACTGGTTTCTTAGCACAGCCCTGTGAGAGAGATGGGAAAAAATGTTCATGTTGTGACAGGTGACTAGTGATTTAATTTCAGTGTCACCAAAGGCCTGGGTGGTACCAAGGTTATTTCTAACCTTAATGTGACAGTGACTGCAGTGCTAGCTGGGTGTTAAACCTGACTGGATGTGTTACCCTATGGAGAGGAAAAAACTGAAAAGTGACTTTTTGTGGTAAATAACCCTTACTTTAATACTTAACTTTAATACTTAGGGGAGTGCTGAGCACCTCTGGGCAGATGCTGCATCTGACAACATCAGCGTCTGCAGCACCATGGACCCGCATGCTGAATCCATCCAAAGCAGACCTATCTTGGGCAGAACAGACCCAACAGCGCGGGGAAAATGACTCAAACAGAAGGATCCACTTTACTGGACTAAGCAAGAAGTAAACAAAGCATCTGAGACGTAAACGAAGATTTATTAAACCTTGTGTTTCTGAACAGTGCTCTGCCTTAGGAGCAGCTATGGACCAAGTGATGCTCTATCTGCATAACAGGCAATTAATGCCTTAATGACCGCCTGGCTTCCCCAGCCCTAGTTTAAAAGGAGCTGTGGCACCTGCTGAGTCACCGTGGCACTTTGGGAGGCTGTTTGGTGCTTTCTGGAAGCCTCCTCACACACAGCTACAGGCAACGTGGCCCACACGAGCTCCTGAGGCTGCAGGAGCAGAGGGTCCGCAGGGACACGGCACCAGCGCCGCAATTCCAGCCAGTCCCCAACAGCCCAGCCAGCCCTGGCTGCACAGCAGTAAAATGTGCACGCTCCAAATTCTCCCTGCTTATCACACGTCGGTTTTAGATCCAATATCAGCTCTCGCAGCCGTCGTGAGCAGAGTCCAGAGAGCGAGGGAAGGTCAGAGCTGACTCAAGCTTAGCAGGAAGGGCTCGTTTGATAAGCTGTTCCTGCTGCCCTGTGGAGCAACACCCGCGCGTCCGCAACACGCACGCGGAAGGTGAGAGCCCTGGGCTTTGGGATTGAAAGGTACAACATGTTTAAACTGCCCTTGAAAAAGGCTTCTGATCCCCCCCAAGCCAACGCGCCCGCGCTGGGGGCAGTCAAATGTCTCATTGCCTTCAAATGAGATTGGAGGGGTTCGGAAAGGTTGAGTGGGGGCTACCTGAGCTAGATTAATCCTGGCCATCAGACAGGCACCTAGAAGATGCCAGTAATTTAATTTGTCCAGTGGTGACGGCACTGTTGTCGTTCTACTCACAGTTATCCACATGGCAAGCTGGGAGGGAACACTGCAGATTATTCCCACAGCAGCCCCCAGCAGCTTTCTACTGCAATGGAAACCAAGAAAAGAAAAGTTCCTCTTCTCTTTTTAAAGAAATAGCAAGGCAAAGATTAGAATTAGATCCAATCTGCTCCAGTTAAAGCCATTCCTCTGCAGAATTTCAGCTCCGAGTGCTTCTCCTGAGGCTGCATAGCCAGGGTCACACTGCCAGTGACAACGTGGGCTGAGCAGATGCACTGAGACCATTTCCATCACTCAATTCTAGTAACAGGCTCAAAAACAAAGTGGGGCTTTGCTATCAGGTACCAACCAAGACGAGTTCTTAGTTACTGAGCAATTTCATTACTTAAAATAATTCTTAAAAGCCACAATATTATCTGTACTTTTGTCATAAAACAAACATTTTAGGTAGAGATAATTGAGAGAATACTGAAAACTAGCAGAGGAATCTACTTAAATGGGAAAAAATGAAGACCAGTTTGCTGAAAAGAGTGTAAACATCTAAAAGGAGTGACTGTGTCAGATGGCTGATGAAAATCTGTTTTGTGAACCAAGTACCAGATGCCAAAAATGTTTCAAGAGAAGATTCAATATTCAAACACATGGCATGGAAAATTATAGTAACAATAAGCATTAACAGAGGTGCTGGGTAGAAATCTATAAAGTTACACTTTGCATCAAAAGCAAAGATCTGTTAAGTACCCCTGTATGCACTGCAGAAAAAAATCCAAGGCTCTTTTTCCAGTTTAAGAGAACTAGCTCCAAGCACAGATGAAGAGAGCTAGGCCTGATGCCTGGCAAAGCCCAGCACTGAATGATCTCTGTAAGGAAAGACAAAATAAAATAGCAGGCGAGGATGTTACGTGATGTGTGCTAAGGGTGACTCGGCTGTTGTAATCACATCCCTCTGTTTGCCAGAGTGCACGAAGCTGGATGACATTTTTTATGATGCATTTCCAAGTTCCTCCCCTGTAAAGAACAGCTCACTTATCTCTGCTTTTCCTTTTCGTTACGCAAGTGAAATATTTATTAGTGACGACGCTGTCAGAGCCAACTCCAGGGCCACCAAGGAAGCTGTGGCTTCCTTGTGTTCTTCAAGGTGCATCTCATCTTTTTGACATGTGGTTAGAGGGGCAGCCACTCCTGCAACTGCCTTGTCTCGGGGCTTCTCTCAGGCAAAAAGGCTCTAATAGGTTTCTGGCACAGAACTTGGTCAAAATTAAAAATAGTTATTTAAGGCACAGTTTGCCGTTACTTGGCTAAAAATGACGTTTCAAACAAAAATGACATCTGAGGAGGAATACATTTTGAAAACACCCTATGAATTTTTTTTTTTTTTGAAATGTCCATTTTTGATCAAGAACTTGAGGAATTTGACTGCCAGAAAACAGCGCGATGTCTCCCAAGAGTGACAGCACCAAGTGCCTGGGAGGGCTGCATAAAGCCCTCCCAAGCTGTGCAATGTGCCGTCTTTGGGAGAAAAGCATCATCTTTCTGTAAAACATCTGCAGGCAATCATTACTCGATGCTTAATTGCATTCTAGCTCCTGTAGACTACGAGCCTGAACAGTACACCTGAGGACTCTAAAATTCTAATATTCATGGAGCATATTCATCTCTCCTTTCTCCATCCATTTCTCTTTGCAATAAGGACAAAAGGGTAAAGCCCCTTAGAGCTTGGCCCTTTACAGAGTTTTCTCCCACGGCTGCAGCATTCGGAAAGCGAAGCCTCTCCTTGCAAATCCCAAACAGCAGGGCCTTGGGAGCTGCAAATCAGGCAGGCAACGCAGAGCACCAACATCCTCTGCTGCTCCTTGGAAAGTCTCATGGGCACCAGCACTTGCCCCATGACAAATGCAATGAAAAGCACAGGGGTTTTCTGCTGTGGTTGTATCTACATCTCCCCGTGACCTTTTACCATGCTGGCGAGGAGCAGCAGTAACTCTCAGCTACAGAGTCCAAGTAGAAGAATAAACAAACAAACTTCATACCGAGCTTCAAAGCCCAAGCTCTACGTGCACTCTGACAGGGATGCCATAACTCTAACCTGTGCCAATTTTCCCCTCAGACATTGAGAAATTCAAAGCTGAGTTTTTAGCTAGCATGTACTCACTCACATTCTTAGGCCAAGTTAAGTTTTCTAAACTCACCCTTATCTCTTCATAAATTTTGATTTTTAAAAAAAAAGTAATATTTCAACATTATAGTTATAAGTTGTACTGTAGATCTCAAAAGGGTTAATTTTATTTTTCCACATTGACATTTGCTAACTTGACCCAAGAGGCTCCTCCTATTCTTAGGTCCCCTCTTAGCTATTGCTAAAGAACCTCAGTCCCCACAGACTGCAGACATACAAACCACCCGATCCTATCTTGTAGGAAGTCACTTTAAAAGCGCATATATTGTTGTAAGATGATGTGTTAAGATACGATCTGGTCAAGGAGTTCACAAATGAGCCCGTGCAGCATGTGGGGCAGCTGGGTCTGAGCAGCCTGTGCTCACTGGGATTGTGCACAGTGGCAGGAGAGGCACCAGCCACATCACAGCCTTGCACGGGAGCCTCTACAGCACAGAGAAGGACTCCCCTTCCCCAGGGCTGTGCAAAGATATTCAAACAAATACATCAAACACCTTCCAGATGCTGGAAGAGCATCAGTGGGATCCTGCATTTTATCTGTTGGCTGAACCTCAGCTGGAACACACATCAGCCCTGAATTAAAGTTTTGTTTTCAGGAAGTCAAGACAGACTCAGAAGCAATGAACAGGGCAGACACTTCACAGATAGCTTGAAAATCCCTTTGTTTAGTGGCTTTTGTTGCCAGAGTCATGATAAATGAATCTTTTAACCTACCTGGTCCTGTCTGCACTAACAACTTGTGGAAAACATAATGAAAGTAATGAAAGGCATCTATAGGCTTCAAGGGTGTCACAGCCAGCACTGGAAAAAAATCTGGTGTTCGAGTCACCACTACCCATTGTGTTATAATGTCTCTTCCAAAAAGCAAGCGTTTGTCACATGCCTTAAAGCAGCAGAGAGACGGAGTGCTTAGAAACACAATGACAGAGTACACAAAGGAGTACTTAGAGATACAATAATGTCAAAAAAACGCATTTAACACACAGCTAAAAAACTCTGGATTCCATATCTGGGGGTATTGAATAAGGTTAGTCGAGAATCACAGCACTACCAAGCAGAAGGCAAAGGATTTCTATACACTAAAGCGCCAGACCTTTATTCCCTCCGTCTCACCCACTTCTCACAGCATATTTTTTCCTCTTGCAAATCCGCCCATCAAGGGCACTGACCATTCCTCGAGTCTAGGAAAAACCAGGCAGCCCTCAGACTGCTTCCAACCTTGCTCTGCTGTTGACCAGAACAGGGTTGCAGATGTGAAGAGAGGCTGTCTGCACACTAGCCCTCTCTCGCACTCCGCACGGCTCCTCTTTCCTTCGTCACCCTCAAGGAATTGGGAGTGTAACCCGGCCTGAGGTTTTCTTTTCCTTCATATTGCAAAATATGAATGCCTAATAGCCTAAACACAACATCTGCTCGGTTCAAGCTGCGAAAGGCCAAGGACTATACACTGCTGCAGCTGTCCCAGCTACAGAATGTCTCAGCTCACTCATCCCCGTGCCCCATGATCTGGGTGTCCCTGCTTGAGCAGGAGGTTGGACTAGATGATCTCTAGAGGTCCCTTCCAACCTCAACCATCCTGTGGTTCTGTGATGAGCCACCTTTGCATCATACCTGGCTTTCAGCTCGTCTCTCTGCTGATCCACCGGCCCCCAGCATCTCAAGCACCACAAGTACAACTCAGCAAAACGCTCTGCTGACATCTCCCTACATTTACTTTCTACCAGCATTTCAGTGCGCACAGAGATGTTTTCATTCACCAAACTTCCCTCCTCCACCCCCAGGTGTGCACACACATGACATTCCTTCAGGGCTCGCTTTTGTCAGGTTTTCACTTGCATGCCGATATTCTCAGGGTCAAGCTTTAGCAGAAAGAAACCAGTTATGGAAAATGTAACAACTAAGGCCTTCCTGGGAGGGGAAAGGAATGAAAAAAAAAAATAAACATCCCTCTTACGAAGAAATAGTCTTAACAATTCTAGCAATGAAATAGCTGAGGATTAAAAAAAATGGCAGGGAAACAGCTTCAACTGAAGTGTTTTAATACAACTAAATTATCAGCCCTTGAAAAAGGGTAATTACACATATAGAGCCATTTAGCAGAACCAACTGCTAGATGTTTGGCAAGAAGCCAGCATGTGTATAGGCCTAATTTGGCTATTTGCATATTAAAAAGAAAATCATAAAAGGCTTGAACACTGAATGGGAACAGTCAACCCTCACCCAGAGCACTGTGTGCTGCTAAGTGACTGGGGGAGCCCTGCCTCACCCAGGCCATGCACCCAGCAGTGTGTCTGAGCAGGTGCTTATAGTTAAGCATAATAATAGACCACTAACTTCAACCAGAATTGATATTTGTAGGTAAGTCTCCAGGGATTAAAAGCTGTACACAGACATTATTCAGTCCAGATGAAATCCTGATCTATGAATCTTTTCAGGAATGCATACACAGTGTTTTGCAGGCAGACACGAACACATCCATGCTCCCAGGGGCTGAGCAGCACCATGCAAAAAAAGTAAAGCCAAAGAGCTGTGTCTGTGATCCTGGCCACAGTGCTACAGCTTCCTAGCTGCTCCAGACAACACACAGGCCAACTCGGTATAAAGCACAGACACAGCTGACTTCTCTCCACCAAAGACCACATAAACACACCTTTTGTTGTCCCAGTTGTGAGATGAGAAGCAGGAATAATGGCTAGTACAGTTAAACTAAAACAACTTGAAAAAGCATCTTCTGTAGTGATGCGCTTCTACTGTTTTATATTAATTCAGGATATAACGCAGAGCAGATCTCACGTCACTGTTTTAGGATGCTGCAAACATCCCTACATGTCAGCTTTTAGAACAGTGATGGTGTCATCCATGCAAACTTACCTGCCCAGCTCTTCTCCGATCTCATAAACATCCTCCACCTTCTGTTGCTTGAACAAAGCCATATTTGGACTCTTCACTGATGCACAAAGGTGATGCACCTGGATCTATAAGAAAGAGAAAGACATTCAGCAACACCTTCCAATTGAGAGAGAATCAGCAAAGCCTTTCTGATGTAACTACTTTGGCTCCACTGCAGCTCATCCATGGCCAAAGCTACTAATTCAGCAGGCTCTCCCAAACAGTATCCAAATCTGGAAAAAAGGAAAAAACAAGGGAAAAAAAAAGGGAAAAAACAAGGGAAAAAACAAGGGAAAAAAAAGGAAAAAACAAGGGAAAAAAAGGGGGAAAAAAAAGGAAAAAAAAAAGAAAAAAAAGAGGGTTCCTGCTCCTCAAAGTACCTGAGCACATAATTCATCAGAAGCACAGAACAAGCCTAAAAGGAAGGTATAACTTAATTGGCATGGGATCCAAAAGCATTTGCACTACACCAGAAAAGGAGCTGCTATGAAAGTTAGCATTAGAGGCTGCTTCATCAGCGGGCAGAGCACATGCCCGGAGGAGCACGACACAAGTTCCTTTTTCTCACTTGGGGCTCCCTTTATGAAACCCAGCGGTGGGACTGCAAAAGGAAGCTCCAACTACTGCTGCAAAATAGAGCACTACGATTTTATCTCTGGGGTTTTCAGGGCAACACCTTTCAGATGACAAAAATCAGCAGCCGCGTTCATTTGTTGCATGTATTGCACTGTATAACAGTGACATTTGCTTCTTTAGCATAATCATTGAAGGTGAAGTCTGTGGGGTCTGGAAGGACAGGCCTTATATTGGTACATTTTGTAATCGAGCAGGACTTTATATCGGCCCATAGTGACCACCACCAGCTGACTGTGTCCTCAAGGCTGCTTTCTGCACCAAGCAGGTCACCGTATAAAAGCACCCCACAAGACCTGCAAAGCAGAGAAGGAGAGTGCTGCAGAGAGAGAACTGCTTTTTCCTGCTAGAGTCAGTGGTCTCCTTTAGGAAACTGCTATTGTGTAAGAAGAAAAAATACCAGGCCTGAAATACAAGCGTAAATACAAGAAAAAAAAAGATTTTATTTAACTATGCCCAAGTGTAACATCCTCTATACCAGTGATTATCAACTCACTTTCCACTCGGTATTTTTCCCAGTTTTGGGCAATCTGGGTGGCCCAGCAACTGCTGTTCTTGAAGAGGAAGATCAGACCCTACTCCTCGAGATGCCCCTCCACAGCAGCACACATCACCCTGGCAGAATGCATTTCAACACAATGTCCTGCTGAGCAGTTTGCAACATATTTGTCGTTTCCTACGCTGACAAACACTAGAATGATCCCAAACAAAAGCCACTCTAGTAGACAGAAAGGAGTATAGTAGCTATAGGGCCTCTAACACCATGATAAAACCTAACTAGTTGAGCCATAAAAAGCTCAGTGACCAACTCTGCAACCACAGGCATTAAGTGCTTTAGGATCACTGACATGAAGCAGGGCATCTCGGAGCTTTTTGTGCTATATTAAATTGATACGGTTTTCTTAGCAGTTGTTCAGAGCAGGATTCTCTAAAGCACCGGTACAGGCCTAGCTCAACACACACAATCTTCAGGAAAAGCAAGCTAAATACAACGCCCAACCTTTCCAACCCCCCCCATGTTACCTCGGGCTGATCTGCAAACTGAAGTTTTGAGTGCAAAAGTCAGCTAAGGGAAAATGCCCACGTACCAAGAGACACCGCTGAGACTCGCCCAGAGACTACGGCTCCCGCAAAGCGACTACTCCCTTCAGCAGAATTCAAGGTACAGAGCTATAAATAACAGCAACGCAAACACACCCAAGAAAAATCAGTCTCCTAAGGAAGAATCAGGTTGTCATTCAGAGGGGAAAGTTAAGAAAATAATTTGAGAAGCGGGAAAATTGCTTGTGATCTCTGTGAGAGTATGGCCAGTTTGCAGCAGATCAATGAGTCTACTTATCCTCCAGCACCCGCTGAAGCAGGTGCTGCCCACTTCTGCAGATCCACAAAATCCCCACGGTATTTTCTCGCAAATAACCAGCCCCCCGGCTGATCTTTTAAGCCCTGGTCTGCACAGGTTGAAGGAGGAAGCCCCTGGGGAGCCGTTCAGGCAATGGCAGCCCAGGGCTTCGCCGTGGAGCACCAAACACCAACCTGCTCGGCAGCGCCCGGAGCCTCCGGTCGCAGCCTGGTGCTGCTGGTGCCTCCTGTGCCCGTCGCTCCGTGTCACCCAACACGGCCCTGCGCTCCCACAGCCTCTGCGGATACTTCTTCCTGGCTGCCACCCAGCAGCCACCGGAGCAGATGCCCAAAATAGACCTCACACTCGGCGACCCCAGACAATCGTCGTTAGCAAACGCGCAGCAGAAAGGGGGCAATGGCACAATAAAAATGACCTTTGCGCGATGAGAATCCATCTGAAATGGAAATGCCATTCACAGGCATAAAGACAACGGCCCAGATATCGTATCAGAGCGAGGAAGCCAGAAAGACTTGAACTGTGATGGCTTGTTGGACTCTGTTTGCAGGTACACAGCACAGATATCCCAAAGCATGATTATACCCAAGGAAGGAGGAGAGATTTAGTGTTTTTCTCTTTAATCAGATAAACATTTCCATAGGCTGCTCAGACTGAATTAGAGGTTTGACTCATTCAGACAAACGAATCGCACATTCCTGAAAAACAGTAATAATCGACGTAACTTTTTGATACCCTATTTTTACGTTCACAACTCTGAGATGTGTAACCAACCACTACTCCAGCAAAACAACTCAGGGCTATGTCAATCACACGAGGTCTGCACCAGCACCCACTAAAACAGGAAGATAGGGGGAAATCAGCCCCAGTGACTGCTGGATCAGACTACTTTAAAAAGTCTTTGAACTATTTTAAAGTTCTCGCCATGAACATCCCAGGTCTTTCCCTCCACCATCACACGTTGGGATCAGCTCTCCTCTCTCAGCCTGTTTGCTCCAGGATTCCCAGTGTTGAGTATTTCAAGATGAAGATCAGCACAGGCTGGCCATGCTCTGCATTCGTGTTACTTGGTTTCCATAAACGCTCACCACACAGTCCCACCTCTTGGCTCCCGCACGCCAGCCCCTTTACCCACCATCCCAAACATCCCACTAATCCCATGCAAACAATTTACCTACAGCCAAGCGTCAAAGCTGCAGCAAAACCAGAAGCTCAACACTGACCTCCCGGATCCCAGTTTCAGGCACCAGAAACATTTCCTGCTTAAATCATTTTGCATTCTTAAATTCTGTCATGCCATAAATCAGAACTTATCTGCCCTAAGATTTCCCAGCATGACTTAAGCAGTGAATTTAAACATCGTATTTACTACAGTCTGATCCCCAGATGCAGATGGTAGATGAAGATGCTGTTACTTTCTTACTGCAGCTTGTACTGTGGGGAAAGGAGACTAATCTAAGGAGTTCGCTCTTTAGAGGAGGGTGACAGAATCCCCTCTAAGAGGAGTTAAGATTTCACCCTTTTAGAAGCGGTTTCTTACGTAGTTCACATTAAACTGCCACGATCAAGTTATCTGATGAGCAACGACGAGTTGAACCCACAATAAACATCCCCCCCGCTGCGGAGGGAGAGGAGCATTATGGAAACCGGAGAGGGGGACGAGGCATTGGGATGTTTTCCTGAGGTGCCGGCGGAGCGATGCCGCTCGCGGGCGCGCGGCTCTGCCCTGCTCCGCTCTCCCCTCGGGCAGGTTTCCGCACCGCTGCGCCGAGCTGAACGCCAGAATGGACCAACGCTAGGGACAACCCCCCATCAATCCCCTTTTAATGCAGGAAAATGTCCACAGCTTGGAGCCCGCCGTCCCAGATTAGCGCTTTGAAGGAGAAGGAAACGAACTGCAACAATTTTGTCTCTCTTTCTGGTGTTTTAGGCTGTAGCTGGAGGGATCTCACATGAAAGGCACCTTTTGCCTTCGCACCCCGACCAAACTTCCTCCTCCTCCTCTTTTAGTATTTTTTGATTCTAGAAAACACTAACACTTTCAACAGCAAGGGAAGGCAGGTACCCCTCAGCCTCTGCTTTTAAATGACAAAAAGGAAAAAGCAGGTAGAAAGTTACACTCACCCAAGCCAAACTTTACCTTCGCGTGAGGCTTCTCCCGTCAGGAGGCAGCGGCAAGCCGCGCTCTCCAGGCGAGCCCGGCGGCTACCGGGACCTCCACAGGGACTCCCGCACCCCGCTATGGAGGCGCCACCCGGGGCGCCCCCGCGCTCGGCACCTGCCGCGGCGGCCCGGCGGGCTCGGGCCCTAAGAACCGCGCGGCCGGCGCCGCTTCCCGCCCGGCCCCGCCGCCCCGGAGCGCGAGGGCCGCGGGCACCGGCGGCTCCGC